GCAAAAGGACAGTGATTTTCACTACCGAGTTCATTTAGGTTTAGAGTCACCAGAAAAGGAACAGTGCTCGTGGGCTCAGGGTGCTGTGTTTGCCTGCAGATCCCATGTGCATTTGGGTGTCAGAGTTTGGAACCTGGTCACCACCAAAGTGACTCTTGAGAGCAGAGGAGGAGGAGGTTTCCAGAAGCCTGATCTTAGCTCCTGGTCCCACTCCTCTCCCAGCGTGGCCCCACAGCGCTGCAAAGCCCTAACAGGGAGGGCTGACTTAAGGAAGGGAGTGGCAACCCAAATTTAGAATTTCCTGCTGTTTAATACTCAGAATTGATTTGCTTTCTGATTAAGGAGGAAGAGGTGCTGAGGTGAAAAAAAAAAAAAAAGCGGAAGCCAGAGGTTGTGGGTGACCTTCCAAATCTCGGCTGGTGTTGGAGACAGGCACGTGGAGTGTTCCCACTGTGTGTTCCCACCGAGCCCTGGAGTGCCTGCAGACCCCTCTGATCCCACCCAGAAGGGCTGTGGGCTGTGTCCTGGAGCTTCAGCTCTACTCAGCTGCAGAAAAACACGACTTGGGGAGTCTGTTTGTGCCTTGAAATATGTTTTTTTTTTTAACTTCCCCTCTCGCAGAAGCCGACTGCCGAGGCACCGAGCTGCTGAGGAAACTCCCTGGATATGCCAGAAAAGGTTTTCCAGCAGAGCTAGGTCACTGTAGTTTTACTGGCAAAGCCTCTTAAGCATAAATGAAGATTATTCTGGTGAAAGCTTATGCTGGTACAGTTTATTCTGGTACAAATGAGCTATCCTGGGGAAAAAAAAAAAAAAAAAAAAAAAAGCACCTCTGCGCTGTTGGAATTGTTTCTGCTTTGGGACATTTTGTGGTCTAGAAATGTTAAAATCACAGCCCTTCGTGATACTGCCGGATCAGCAAAAGCTGGTTTAGCTGCTGCAGACGTGCCCTGGCCAAGCAGCAGCACTTGGAGTCCCGTGCACTGCGTGACAAAATGCCACAGGGGAAGGATTGCAAGGGCTGGTGGCATTCCGGATGCTTCCAGCGACCGCAGCTCCCAGAGGGTCTGACCTGCCCATCTGGGATGCTTCCAGCCATGGATATTTGCTGGGTCCAAACTGGAGATTTGTGCTCTTGGCCCCAAGAATGCCAAGGGAGTGGAAAATAGCAGTAGAGCTGCCCAGGGATGTTGGGTACTTGGCTGCACTGGTCTGATGCAGCTGGATGAAAATGGGGGCAAATGTTTTATGAAGATGGTTTTTTCCCCTCATTGAACATTATTAATAATATCCTTGTTCCTTTTCTTCTTATGGTGATGATAATAGTAAGCAAGTTCTGTCTATCACAGAGGCAGGAGGGAAAAAGAACCACAGGAAAGGTTGATTCAGCAGTTGAGATGCTACCCTGCATCTTGCAGTAGCCAGGATCTATTCCCAGCTTTGGCTCCCATTTCCTGTGTGACCTTGGTGAAGGTCACATCAACCTTCAAAGCCAAATTTTTACGTCTTTGTCTGCTAGAAGGGCTCCTGCCTCCTCAGGGGCATTGCTCTCCCCGTGCCTCAGCTTCCCCACCCAGGATGGTGGAATCCTGAAGAGATCTTGGAAAGACAGGTACCTGCTGAGGGAAAGGGCAGGGAGGAGCACACTGTGCCAGAAAAAACAAGGCTCAGGCTCGTTATCTGGAGGCCAGATCAGAACCCTCTGGCTCTGGTATCCGTGTGATGGTTCCTGTGCCGCGGAGCAGAGCCGGGATCACGCCCGTGGCTCTGTGCAGCCACAGAGCACCATCACTGCAAGATGGATCACGTGGCCCTGCCCTGAATGTCATATTCTTTGGGAAAAATTCCCATCCAAATTTTGTGGCTGGCGGGTCCGTAGTTTAGAGGAAGAAAAAAGAGCTTCATTGCAAATTCTTCAGCTGCTGACGAGCTCTGGTTTCTGATCTCCCAATTGCCATGGGGCATCTTCTGGGATATATAGAGGTCGTTGTGCTTAAACAAAGGACACACAGAGAAAATAGCTGCAGTTGATGGGTGTGACAGAGGGGAAATGCTTTCAGAACTTTTTTTCTCTCTTTTTTTTTTTTTAATTTAGAAACAGGCACAGAGTTTATTTTGATCAAGAGATAGTCACACACAACAGCTTTAAATGGCAGAACTCCACAAGGAAAAGGAATAGTCTCACACTACTTGAACTGAAAATGCATTTGGGAAAATGCCTCCTGTGTTTGCTGCAGTCCAAGTGGTGTTCATCAGTTTGGGAATTTGTTTCAATTAAGGTTTTTTCCTCAGTCTAGGCTTTTTTTTCCTTTTTTAAAGCATTCATTTTTCATTCAGGGTCCTCTAGGATACTTGTGATGAGGGAGGAGGGTGAGCTCCTCATGTCCTGCTCCCAGTCCTCATCTCCCCACCTCGAGTCATTATTTTCTCAAAACTCATCTTCCTGCTGGGAACACTCCCCCTCGAGCCAGGGGCTGGCAGCATCTGCCCTGAGTTGCCTCAAGTGGACTCTTGATTTTGCTAAGGAAAAAACCCTAAACCCTTTTCCATATTTGCCTGTTGTTTGGAGGTAAAACTTTTCCCATTGCTGCAGCTCTTCCAGCGGGGTTTTGGAGGGGGGAGTGTTTGGATGAGCAGTGGAAACATCCCAGTGTCCAGAGGGTTGCTTGAGCTGGACTCTGAAGGAGTTCAGGTCTGGTTTGGATTTCAGAGCATGTGGCCAAGGGGTTTGGGTGAAAACACACCCAAATCTGTCCATGCCAGCACCCACACCTCCCTGTTCCATGCTCAGTTAGTCCTCTCCTTTCCTTTTTGTTGTTGCCTGAATTATTCTCTCTGGACCATCCCTCCCACACACCCCCAGTTCATGACTGGGTGCTGGGTGCTGGGGATCACATCCATGTGTGAACAGGGTGGATGAGGGGAGCTGATGTGGTGACATGGGATGTGCAGGGACGGGGAGCTCCCGTGGTACCCCGGGGACGGGGATTTTGGGAGAGGTACCGGCCCCACATGTGCTTTGCTTTCTGATGTGCTTGAGTAGACGTGGGCTGGTCGCCAGTAACCTGCCTGTGACCTCTCCTGCCTTAAATATTCAGGATCTTTTAAAAGGAAAGACTGGGCTTTGCTGCCTTCCCTTTGCCGGCAGGTCAAGTACCTGTTTCCCCTGGCTGGGGATCCGGTGCATCCTTGGAAGGTGTCCACCCATCACCTCGGCTCTGGGTGTTTCTGGGGTCCTTCAAACCTGGCTGGGACCCCCTAACTCTGCTCCAGGATGAGCTCCTGCCTTTTCCCCCTGCTGGGATGGCAGTGGGGAAAAAACACCAGGAGGAGAGAGCCGGGAAGCACAATCCCACTGTGCTAGAGCCCCGGAGCAGACCCCGAAGCCTCAAGGAATTTCCTGGGGTTCCTGTTGTGCCGCCCGCACGTCACTCAGCCAGAGGTGACGTGGTGGCCTGAGGTTGTTTTATATCAACATCCTTTGAGAGCCAATCGAGGCCGGGCCCCCAGGGACAGGGATGCTCCCTTCCAACACAGACCAGGGATGCTGATGGGATGCTGGGGGCTGTGATGGGATTCTGGAGGCAGCAGTGGGGTTCTGCGGGCAGCAGTGGAATGCTGGGGGCAGCAGTGGTACTCTAGGTGCAGTGATGGGATGCTGGGGGCAGCAGTGGGATTCTGGGGGCAGCATTGGGATGCTGGGAGCAGTGATGGGACTCTAGGTGCAGCGATGGGATTCTGGTTCCATGGCTTTGCAAGAGGAGCATTGCTGCCTTGCTGAGCCTTCACTTCCTCATCCCGGGATTTCCCCACTGGGATGGGTGATCTCTGGGGAGGATTGCTGGGGCTGGGCTGCTGTGTGTTCAGCGAGCATGTTTCCCCACTGTGTAACATTCATGTGCTAATTGCTCCAAAATCCTGGGCAGACAGCTGGCTCCAAGCAGACTGAAGGCAACATTTTCCAGAATTTGGGGTCCGTAGCCAAAAGCAGTGGCTCCCAGACCCACCATGAAGGGCCCCTTGCCTAAGCGGTCGTACTGGTGCTTCCTCCTCTCTGGATCCACGTTTGCTGGTGTGAACTGGGGGGTCCTGGTGGGTGTCAGGGTGAGCAGTGGCCATGCTGGGGGGGGCCCCATCCACACTGCCCATCCGCCCCTGCCGCCTTCCGTCCGCTCCTGCTTGCAGCCTGCCCGGGGGCCACGAGCCAGCCCCTTCCTCGCTCGGGATTGTTTTGCAAGCAGCGTGACAGGATGAGGAGGAAATGTGCCAGGAATGGCTCCATGTCTCCTCTTGGGAGAATCGAAGTCTATTTATAACCCCCTCTTCCCGCCCCCCTCCTCCCGCTCCCCCGGGACGGCGGAGCCGCTGGGGCGCAGGCAGACACAGCCCGTCCTGTGCCTGCAGAGCTGCTCCCGCTCCCCATGCAGCAGGCAGGCGTGTTCCTCCTGGCCAGCACACAGAGCCACAGGATCATTTAGGTCAGAAAAAACCTCCAGGATCATCCAGTCCAACCCTTGAGCACACAGCCTTCCTTGTGGCACGCTGGTGTGTGGATGGACACACACATCAATTGTGTGATGCACAGACATGCTCTTGCTGCTGAACCACTGCTGCAGCCCCATGTTCTCCATGCATGGCCTGGCCCTGTGATAAATCCAAATTATCCTGTGGCATGGATGGCATCAGCTGGAGCAGCGATGCTGAGTCCCTGGCAGAGCTTAGAGCCAGGGTACAGCATGTGAGTGAGGTGGAGGAGGGCACTGATGCCTGTCTCAAGGTGGAAATGCTCTCAGCACCTCTCTTAATGCCTGTGTAGATGCTCCAACAGAAGATGGTTGGGAAAGATGGAGGTGCATTGGGAATTTTGGGGGAGGATGAAAAGCAGCCCCTTGGCAGGGCAAGGAGCAAGGGGTCTGCATCTCAGGGCTTGCTGTGGTGACACGTCAGAGCCTGTCCCAGCTGGGAGACTCAACCCTGTTTCTCTCTTTCTTCTCTTCCAGATTTCTCCAACCAAGTCAATTCCACATCCCTGAACTCTCCCACGAGCCGGGGGCCCATGGCCACCCCGTCCCTCCACCCGTCCATCGGGCCGGGCATCGGCTCCTCGCTGGGCTCCCCGGGCCAGCTGCACTCGCCCATCAGCACCCTGAGCTCGCCCATCAATGGCATGGGCCCTCCCTTCTCCGTCATCAGCTCCCCCATGGGCCCGCACTCAATGTCCGTCCCCTCCACCCCCAGCCTGGGATTTGGCACCAGCAGCCCACAGGTAAGTGGTGGGGATGTCTGTGCTGCTTGTTTAGCTGGGGAGAAGCCACGTCCGTGGGTTTCCTCATCCAGACAGGCCCCAAAGAGAGGCGAAAAGCAGAAGCCCAAAGGGAAAACTAAGCTGGAGGCATCCTGCTCCTTTGGCTGGAGCTGCCTGTGGGGCTGCCCTGGGTGGGCTGTGAGGGACCAGCAGAGCCAGAATATGGCCACGGATCACCTGTTTGTCCCCGAGTGAACAGGGGGTGAAAAGGGAGCAGTGACCACCCCTGGGTCACCTGCAGGCAGGAGCCAGAGCCACCCTAAGACTGTCTGTACCCTGGGATTATCACCTCAGCACATCCCCTCCAGGGCTGGCCCATGGTCCCAGTAGAATCATAGTTGTTAAGGTTGGAAAAGCCCTCTAAGGTTGTTGAGTCCAATCATTAACCCAACATTGCCAAGTCCACCACAAAATCATGCCCCCGAGGGCCACATCCACAAGCCTTTTGAACACTTCCAGGGATGGTGATTCCTGGACTAATCCTGTGCAGCCTGTTCCAATGCCTGACGATCCTTTCAGTGAAGAAATTTTCCCTAATAGCCAATCTAAACCTGGCACATGTTGAGGCTGTTCCTTCCTTGTCCTGTCACTTGTGCACACCCAGGGGTCCCCTGCCCGCTGCCCATTTCTCCTTGCAGGGGAAAGATTGGCCTTTGCTGGCAGAAGATTATGTAAAAAACCCTCCAACTAGGGAGAGATAAGCTCTTTTTAAAAATAGCCAGATCGGGGCGCTGGCCAGCCCCTGCCACCTGTTGCTGGCTGCTCGCACGGTATATGTTTAGTAAAAGGGCAGATTAAGGAATTGGCCACCACCTGCCACTCGCTGTGGGTTTATTTATTCCAGGCCCTCTCTGGGAGTCAAGCACCTGCCAGCACCTTTATTTTTAAATATTGGCTTGATTTATTTCCAGAGATAACAGGTCTTTCTACGTGGGGCTGTGCTGGGTCCCATCCCTAGGGACCCGCAGGCAGCTTCCCCAGGGTCCAGCATCCCAGTGCTGGACAGAGAGGCAGTTTGCCTTTGGATGAGATTCTCCCATGCAGGATCCAGCCCGTGACCCCCATAGACCTGCACCCTGCTCCCCACTGTGGGTGAGTGGGGTGGACACATTGCCTCCCATCCCGAGGGAAGGGGAACTGAAACGGCGCCTGGGAACGGGCAGTCAGAACAAAATTAGCAGCAGCAGCGCCAGAGTGGTGGGGAAGGAGCGGGAAGGGGGATGTGAGGCAACACGGGGTGAGCCACAAGCCGGGGAGACGACGGGGAAGGGGCGACGCGCCCCCAGCGCCGATTGTAAGGTGCAGTTTGCTTTTGGGGCTGGCAGGCCGGGGGAACTGAAACGAAACACAGCTACAGGGCAGGAAAGGGAAGCGAGAGCGTGGTGGGATGGTGCCGGGAGCGCGCTGGCAGCACCGCGGCTCCAGCCCTCGGCACGGCGCGAACGCCCGTCCTCTGTCCGGGGACTTGTCTTAAGTGGTTTTCCTCGAGGTGACAGTTCGGAGGCCTTCAGCCTAATGGCTCCTGCCATCTGTTCCCTGTCTGGGCGCATTAGGTCCCTGTCCCCATCCCTGCAGAGGCGCCTACCTGGGCCGGCAGAGGAGGAGGAGGAGGAGGAGGGTGCGAGGCCGATGCGCGGAGGGGAGCGTGGCCCCCGCGCCGCTGCACCGGCCCGGCAGAGCGCCGGGGTAATGAGGCGTGTGGCCCCCGTCGCCGGGCGGGGATGGCACTGATGGAAGGTGGTTTGCATCAGATGGCAGATGCCACTTGCCATCAGGCCATGCCTCGTCGCCTCTGGAAAGCCAGCAGAGCAGAAGGGCACGCGGTGCGCGAGGTGCGGTGGGTCCCCAGGGTGGGGCCTCTCCACTCTGGCTCCACCAGGGTGGGGAGGAACCATCAGGCTCCCAAAACAGGGCATTCTACCTATCCCATCTGGTTCTGCAGAGGTGAGGATCCAGCAGCCCTCAGTGCCAGTGCTGGAGGATGCTCCAAGTGCTCCCCCTGCCCTCCCTCCAGCAGTGTGAGCTTCCCAGGATCCCACATGGTTTCTAAATGCAGCCCCAAAATCAGGACATGAGGCAGCGTGTCCTGCCATGGGATCTCAGCATACCAGGCCCTTGTGGGATGGGGATGCTGGTGCTGGGCTGGGCTGTGGGTGAGATGTGCAGGGCACGAATAGTTCGCAGTAGTGAGCAGGGTCCCAGCCAGACTGGGGGGGTCTAGACGCAGCAGCTCTGCAGCTTACCGGGGTTTAATGTATTACTTAAACCCTCTTACCTAAAAATTCTGTGAAAACACGAAAAAAAAGTGCAGGATTTTCAGTAAGAGCTGTGAGGGAGGGACTTTGCATGCAGCTTGCAGGGCTGTGTGGCGCAGCCGCCCCAGGCATCGCTGGCAGCAGCTCGGGGTGCCCGGGGGTGAGCGGGGAGAGATCAGACACGGGATTAGGCTTTTCCAGAGCCGCCGTCTGCCTTTGCACAATGCTCTTTGTAAGGGTGCCTGGGGGACCGGGGAAGGGGTGGGATTTTTTTTTTTTTTTTTTGGGTGGGAGGAGGAATAAAGCTCTGCTTGCCAGAAGGGACGGGATTCGGTCCCCTGGTGCAACGAGCTGAAGAGGGAAGGGAAGGCGCTGAGAGATTCTGGCATCACTGGGGAAGAAAAGCACTGATTCCTCCTGCGTCCCCACTCACTTGCTGAGCTGGAGCCATCCTGTCCCGGAGCAGAAGTGCTTTGCCAAGGCGAGGGGCTGCTGCCTCCCTCTCTGCCCCCTCCCTGCCTGCACGTGCTGCCAGTTTCTCTCGGTGACCAGCCGGGAGGGGAAGGCACGGGGCAGGCGCCAGGGTGGTGTGGGAACCCTGGGGTGCACGTGGTGCCTCCGCTGAGGTTTCGGGCCAGCACTGGGAGAGGAACCGATGACTTCCTCCGCCCCAGCCCGGGGCTGACTCAGCGCCCACCAGTTGATGCACGGGACCCCCACCCCTCCTGGGCTGGTCTTGCTCTGCTCACCATCCCACTGATGCTCTCAGGGGTCTGCTTGGGTGGACTCTGTGGACTTCTGAGGCTTGGGGAAGTGGTGGTGAAAGGCTTAACTTCGTCAGGCAGCCATGGCCTCTACCCTCAGTCCCACATGTCCACGGCCAATGATGCAGCGTGACACGAGCTGTAGCCACCAGCTGCACCTGGGAAATGGCTGCATTTCCCACAGAGTGCACTGGGAGGGATTGCTGGGGGTGGTGACCCTGAGTGGCAGCCCCTGCTCCCAGGGTAGCACAGTGAGAGCATGTGCCTGGGGACCCAAAGAGAGAGGTTTCTGCCTGGGGACCTGCTTGTCCCTCCCCTCTTTGCTCCATGGAACAGCAGCTGAAGCCCAGGATTGTATCCCTCAGTGACACCAGGTCCTGGCTGCCTTTGATTCATCAGCTGGCCCACCAGGGTGGGAGAGGGAGGCAGATCCATCACATTTCTCCAGGGTGGGTTTACCTGGCTCTGTTCTGTGGTTGTTAGTCATCTGCCTGCCAAATATTCCCCACCAGCCTGGAGACTTAAAAGCCGGAGGAATGGATGCTCTGCTCTAATTGACAGATCACAAGCCTTGGGACTTCCCTGAATTAATTTGTGACAAGTGCAATTGCTGAGGATCTCTACTAGGTAGAGAAACACAACAAACTGAAGCAGGATCCTGTGTATCCAACTTGAGTTTAGAGGTTGACAGTGATGGTGGCTCTGCGACAGTCCCCAGTGCAGTGGTCCCAGCAGAGGAGCACTCTGTCCCTGAAGTCACCTAGTCTGGCTCCCCCTCAGACCCTCACAGGGTCTCCATGAGCTTGTCTCCCTTATTGATGGGTCAATCCTACATCTCCCTGCCTCAGTTTCTCTCTGTAGACAGGAGGATAACAGCCCTGCCCTGCTCCACAGGAATCCTTCACTCCACATCAGTGCCATGTCAGCACTCAGCTTCCACCCCATTCTTTGCTTGCTGGGGGCCAAGCTCACTGGGGAGGGAAGGAGACACATGTGGAAGTTGCAGAGACGTGTCCCACCCGAGCCAGTTCTGGAAAGCCAGACCCCGTTGCATCTGGGATCTATTTATTTACCATGAAGCGTTCCTTTGGAGAGATAATGCTGAAAGGATATGCACGAGTGTCCTGGCCTTCATCACCCATGCAAGCACTCGCTCCCAGCCAGCCCCTCTCCCACGAGCCATCACTGCAGACCGTCTTCCCTGCGTGCCCAGCTCTTATGCCAGGGCAGTGGGTGAGCACTCATGTGCCCAAATCATGAACCCAGAGGCTCAGCTTTGTGGTGGGTGTTTTAAGTGGTGCTGGTCCCCACTGGAAGCTTGTCCCCTGCTCGTCCACCCAGCCCCATGTCCCAGCTGGCACAGCCCCACATCCCATGTCCCTGGTCCCCACTGAGCCCTGTGCTTCTGCCTCGACAGCTCAACTCACCCATGAACTCCGTCACCAGCACAGAAGACATTAAGCCACCCCTGGGGCTCAATGGAGTCCTCAAAGTGCCAGCACATCCCTCAGGAACGATGGCCTCCTTCACCAAGCACATATGTGCCATCTGTGGGGACAGATCTTCAGGTAAGGCTGATGCCTGCCCCGGGAGGGGCTCACGGCGGTGGGCTCTGGATACGGGTGCTCTGGGAGAGGGTTGGCATGACTCCCCAGCTCCCTGTGGCACAGCTTCCTGTGCTCTCAGAGGAGAGATGAAAAGTCCCTTATTGACCAACCTGGTCCAGGGCAGGCTCTGAGCTGAGCTGGCAGACCCCAGGTCCCTGTTTAGCAGTGGGGTTACATCCTCAGCCCATCTGAAAACAAGGCATCAGTGAGTGTCCCTCCTTCTCCCCATTCTTTGGTCCGCAGTGGTACTGTCACACAGTGCCAGATAAAAAGATGAGCTTGACACAGAGTCTCTCCACTCTGGGAGATAAAGATGTGCTAATTCCCTTTATTCTCACACTGTTCTAAAAGCTCTCTGCTCCAGAAGAGCTCTGGTCGCCTAGTTAGTGAGTCCTTAGGGACCTCTCCTGTGCCTGTACCATGCACCCACCCTCCAATGCCAGCCCGAAGCCCAGGGTTTTGGAGGGTGGGTGCGTGGTACAGAGCATGCTGTCTCGTGTGCCTGGTGTGGGGGGTTCAGAGGGGGCACAGAGGGCACCCTTTGTTTCACTGCTGCACTGCCTGATGTATGCCTAAGAAATGCCGAGGGCTTTTCCTGCGTGGGAGGCAGGTTGCAGCCCACAGAGCGCATCCTGATTTTATGGAAGTCAAGTCAGGGCGAAGCCACTGCTCTTCAGCTCCTGCTCACGGCTGCAGGAAACCTTTGCCTCCCCCAGATCCCGCCGGGAGACAGGCCCCGGGGAAGAGCTGACGGTCCGTGTGGGGAGGAGGAGACACTTTTAACCCGAGTCTCGTTCCCCACAGGAAAACATTACGGGGTTTACAGCTGCGAGGGCTGCAAAGGCTTCTTCAAGCGCACGGTGCGGAAGGACCTCACCTACACCTGCCGCGACAACAAGGACTGTTTGATCGACAAGCGCCAGCGCAACCGCTGCCAGTACTGCCGCTACCAGAAGTGTCTGGCCATGGGCATGAAGAGAGAAGGTAAGGCCTGGCCTGCCCTCAGCACCCGTGGGTGCTGCAGGACTGTTTCCTTCCTTAGGAGGCTCCGTCAGGCTCCTGCCTGTGGCGTCACGGTGGGCACCTGGGGCAGCGTCACCTTGCCGGGGTGACAAAGGTGTGTGTGTCTCGTTTATACTTTGCTTTAGTGCCACAGCCAGGGCCTCCCGTGGGCTCCAGAGCAGCGCCGAGCCACAGAGTGGTGCCTGGTGATGGGTGGGCCATGGGCAGGGACACCTTCCACTAGCCCAGGTTGCTCCAAGCCCCATCCAACCTGGTCTTGAACACTTCCAGGGATGGGGCAGCCACAGCTTCTCTGTGCAGCCTGTGCCAGGGTTTCACCTCCCAGTCCAGTATCTGATTTTTTTCTCATGGGGAAGAAGAAAGAAATTCAGTCTCATAAAATATAGCTCTCCCCTCACTGGAACTTAAATTTAGGATCTAAACCTCCCTGGCAGTGCCTCTTTTAAGTGCTCTTTTTAAATACTGACTCCGTCTGTTCTAATCTGCTGGCAGAACAGGCTTTTACCAGACATGACGTGAAAATGACCCCAGTTCTCTGCTGCCTTCTCCCCTTACATCTTCAGAGCCACACTTGCCTCTCTGACAGGCTGATAAAACCGTCCCTGTGGCCAGCAGAGCTCCAGCCTGGGTCCCTTTGAAGAGCACTTAGTCCTGTCTGGAGCATTGATTAAATGGGGCAGTGCTGGAGCTGCACTGAGTGTTGGGCAGACCTTGCCACCCTCGATTTATGGGGTTACCCAAGGACCCACGACGTGCAGAGTCATCAAATGTCAAAGCTGTCTGTGCTGGAGGTGTGGGGGGATTGCTGGGGCACCCAGGGGACCTCCTTGGTCCTGCTGAGCTTAACCCTTTGTGCTCAGAACGAATCTTCCTGCCCCACCAGACCTCTGATCTTAAATCGAGAGGCTGAGGCATTCAGAGAGTGCCTGTGAGGGTGAGTGGGACAGTGCAGGTGTGTGTGGGGGCTGGCATTGCCCTGGATGCTGTGCAGAGGGGCAGAGACATGGAGAGCACTGGATCCCTTGGGAGATGTGCAGCAGGACAAGGAAAATCTAATCCAAAACCTGAGCCGTGGGAGACTCAGGTGACTAAAAAGAAGCCAAGAAGTCTCCTGTGTGTTCAGCAGCAGCACTTGCTTCTCAGGGGAGAAACGTGGAGCATCCCATTCCCCTGGCATCGCCTCCAGAGCCTTCCTTCAGCCCCCAGGACATCAGCCAAGGTCTGTAGGGTTGGGAAAACCAGCAGGAGTGCTGTAACTGCAGCCTGCAGTGACATCCTGTGAGCAGGTACCTGCGCTGTGCCTGCGTTAGCGGTGATTGCATGGGCAGCACCGCTCAAATTACGGGTCCATTAATTAACTTCTAAATGGTGGTGGAATTCCCCAGGGAGCGCGTACAGTAGGAGGACTCTATTAATTCATCTTGATTAACATTATCACAATGAATAGCAAATGAATTCATAACGATCAGACAGTTATTTAAAAGGGTGACAGATGGGATCTTGGTAACTCCAGAAGTGCGCTCAGGCAGTGCTGGCTGATCTGGTGAGGACAGCGTTGGAGAAGGGCAGGAAGCTGGTGATTTGGCAGACAGTAGATGATTGGGGCATAATCCCCATGTAGGGAAAGCTGGAATAACTCCCCTGGTCTCCAAATAAAGCTCTGTCTTGTTATAAACCTAAAAATTCAGTGCCTGGTGGAGATGTCCAAGTGTTGTCCTGGAGCTGAAAGTCAGAAGTTGGATCTCACTGAGCTTTGGTTTTGAGTGAAACTCTTTTGAGTTTCACATGTGATATCCACATGATTTGTCAAAAAAGAAATAAATCTCTTCCCATTGCAGCCATCCCAGCTCACTGCTGCTGCCCAGCCACTTTGCCAGCCAGAAATGTTGTCCTTGTCCTTACACCAGTCCTCCTGCATCCCACCTCTATTTTGGGGAAGAGCTTTGGGCTAAATCCTGCATTGCTAATTTTTTTTGCCTAAATACAACATAGCTGGCTTTCTGTCCTCTAGCATAAACTGTTGTATCTTTTAAGTAACAGAGCCAGGGTAATGGGCCTCATTTCCCTGTAAAATATCTTGCTCTGGAGACCTAATTTATAGCTGCGTAAAGGCATAGCAGATTCCTGCTGGGAAGTATCTGTCTTGTAGCCCAAAGGTACTTGGATGTTGTGGAAGTACAGTAAAACCCTCTACAGTGAGTACTGTGGCTGTGGTGAGAGGCAGAGCTGTGGTGGTGATGCTGGGAAGAAGAGGGATGAGGGTCACAGTCGTACCCAAAAACCTGTGCCAGAGAGTAAAAGGAAAGGAGCTTTTACTCAGCTGAGAAGTTGGATTAGAGAAGTAAAATCAACAGGACCTCTTGGGCAGCTGATGAAGGTCTGTAAGGGTTTGATCCTGAAAGCTGGGGGGTCTCTAGGTGAACATGCCAAGAGCAGACCCGGAGGGATGAACCTTGTGCTCGGCCAGGGTAGAAGCAGCAGCACGAGGGAGGTGAGAGGCAGAGGGTGGCTGTGGGGTACTGCTGGGAGGACAGGAATGGCTTCAGGGCTACAAGCCTTGGTTTAAAGGGGTGAAAGCCTCCAGGAACAGAAGATTCTTCCCATTGTGTGCATCTCTTCTTGCTGTTCCCTGAACATATAAGATAGTTCATGGTGAATGAGCCTCGCGGCTCTGAGATATTGCAGCTATAATAAATAAGCAACTGGGAACATTTTTCCCTTATGAATTACTGCCAGCTGTGTGAGGCTTTGGTTTTTATACTCTGTCTCCCACTAAATACCGGATAGTCAACAAAATTAAGATTACCATCAAGGATCTTGACTAATGCAGGGATTATTATTATTGTGGGGGAGGCTGTTTGTATCCAGAAGCAGAACTCTCCCTGCTTGATCTGTTACTCATTAGGGTCTAAGGTGTCTGTGGATCAGCAGCCTTGGATTTCAGAGGGGGGAAAAAGTGGAAACTGCCTTGGAGTTAGGGAGGCAGAGGAGGGAGTAAACACCCAGGGTCTTGGCATGAAGGGGTCTTGTGTGCAGTGCCGTTAGCTGGGTTAACATCGGAGGTGAAGGGGGTCATCAGAGGCTGCAAACGCGTTGCAGCTCGTCGCTGTCTCGTGTGAGGAGGTCCCGGCCCCTCCGTTGCTGGCAGCGCCGCCGGCTCGCCCGGCGAGCAGGAAATACCAGCGAGGAGCCCTTTCTCATGCTCCCGCCGGCCGCCCTTGGACGGCTCACAGGCAGCAGAGCGTTGGGAACCGGCACAGCCCGGCCCCGCCGCTCCGGCTGCCGCCTCTGCTTCCCCCGGCGCTGCCCCCGGACGTGAGCGGCTCCCCGTGCGAGCCAGCCCGGCTCCGCGGGACCTGCTGGGCTGCCAGCGGGGCTCCCCCGTGCCGGGCGGAGGGCTGGGCGCGCTGGGTTTGATGCCAACTGGGTAAAGTGGGTGTTGATGCATCTCCACCATCTCCACATCTCGTAGCCCGTGTGGAGACCACAGAGCTGTTCTCCTCCAGCACCTGCGGCTCAGGCTGCACAGCTGACCCCCAGGATCGTTCCTAAATCGGGTGCAGGTACCCTGACAGTGTGGCCTGGGTACAGCACGGCCGTGGCTTGTCTCCACCAGCTGCTGGGATGTGATCCAGAGCCATGCTCTGAGCACCCAGGACATCTGTCCAGCTGCACACCTGATCTCTGACTTCAAGGCTTTATTAAACTTCACAGCCTGAGTTAATTCTGCCCCTTCTCCTGTGTTTGTGGGTTGGTTTTCCCTCTCTCTCTTGCACTTCCGTCGAGCTGAGGGGTATAGCCTGGGAGAAGTTGGACTTGCAGCATCTCTAGTCCACAGTCTAGAGACCTTCCCATGTCTCCAGGGAGCTGTTTAGATATATCACTTAGTCCAGAGGGACTGTAGATTCCCCCTGTTCTAATTTGGAGCTCAGCTGCTGCACTAACAACAGTCTCTCACTGAGCTGTGCCCAATCCCCTGCCATAGCTGTGCATTCCCTCTGCACCCCCTGGAGCTCGAGCCATCCCGGCTCTTGGAGCATCTCTTGGGACCAACAGGAGCAAAAAGGGTCTGGGGAGAAAGAGCAGGAATTCAGGTTTCCAACCCACTGCCCAACTGAATGTAAAAGCAGGCAAGTGGCCATAGCCTAGTGGAGGGGCAGAGTTCAAGAGCACAGTTATATTTAGTAGTAATTTTGGAATGGAAAATGTCTTCCAGCTTAATGAGTTTGTTTCTTATATCCTTTTAAAGTGCTGCTGTTTAAACCAGCTGGTTAAATGATGCTGGGTTTATTTTTTTGTTTTTAAGGATGCTCCTGGGTTGAGAAAAAAGGTTTGGTTTATGGTTTTCTCTCCTTTGCCAATGTTGCTGTTTGCTTACACTTCAGTACCTGGCTTTGGAGAGTGAAGTGAGCTAGGGATTTTTGCTGTTGCTTTCCAGAGTTGTTCCTCATGTGAACTAACTGCGTGCAAAGGTTTCAATCCACTTTTTAACACTACAGAGTTATATTTTTTAATTACCACAGTGGTATTTTGTGTTCCTTAAAAAATTCCAGTGATCAATTGAAAATGCTGGAGAAAAAAACAACCACTGTTTATTTCACGTGTCTCAGCTTTTGAGGTTGTTTACAGTAGCAGAAAGCTGCACCTCTGAAGAAAAAAAAAGGTGACACACGAAAGCAAAGCAGAAGAAATGCTGTCTGAATTAGTTTCCTCAGCTGTCGTGGCATTTTCGATACAAACAGGTACCTCAGGCATAAGCACTTCAAGGTGCTGATGATCCACAGTGAAGATGTGGCTTCATAAAAGGCAGCAGAGGCCAATAAATTCCACTGTGAGTGAAATGGAAATCCCCAATAACCCCCCACCCAGCTCCTCATAAATAACGAGCCACCCACCTGCAGGGTGGGAGAAGACTGAGCAGGTTTGGGGCTCGCAGGTTCTTTGGGCTGAGCATCGATGCC